TCTGTCCTCTTCCTCCGCCCTCGTTACCTCCTTTTTGTCCTTTCTCCTCCTTCACTTCCCCCTGATTGTGGTGACGTTTTACCAGGCGGGCCTCTCATCCTCTCGAAGTCGGACGGCTAGGCCCTCTGCTGTGTTGGCGCCGACGTTGAGGCGGGCGGACCTGCCTTCTTGGCCGTATGAGTCGGCCTCGTGACAGGCGGGGGCTTCGAGCGCGCCAGCGGAGCCAGCGGACCAGGCAGGACCACCTCGGCGGGGGGCTCTATCTCCACGTACTCCTCCTTCTTGGTGTTCTTGATGACCTTGTCTCTCTTGGCCAGGCAGTCCCGGCGCGTCTGCTCTATCTGATGAGGAGTCATTCTGACGAATTCCAGCCTTTGCTTGCATCGCGAGCACCTTGTGTATCATCCGTACTGGTTCCCCCCGGCTTGCAGAAGGCGAGCGGATGGGAGCACGCCCTTGATCCAGCTCCTCGTCCTTGGGCTCGCGCTCGAAGAGCGTCGTCTGCGGTACCAGAAGGCGAGAAGACGCACATCGGCCACCATACGCAGGACCATGAGTATCTTGATGGCCCAGCGCCTCCAGAGACGGCTCGGTGGTGACAGCACGAAACCTCCATCCAGGAAGAGGGTCTGCTCCACATCGCTCATGGTCTCCTCCTGGAAGATGATCTGCCTGAGCGTCCCGTCCACCCAGGGGTCCGAAGGCATGTCCCAGTTGGCGTCCATCCCGCTCTCCTCGTCCTCCAAGACAGTCCCCATCTCCTCGGACTCCTGATCCAGTGTCCCGCCCGCCGAGCGGACCGCTCGTGCCCGCACCACAGCCAACGTTCGTGTCGCTCTGGGTCGAGATCGCGAAGACATTCCTGGCTTCCTCACAGGTAACATTCTTGATGGGCGACCGGCTGTGATGAGAGAACTGAGCTGTCCCCGAAGGGTGTGAACCAAGAGCTACGGAGGGCGGATCAGGTGCTGTCCCGAGAGGCCTGCCCCGTGGAACCCGCTGTTCGAAACTGAGAGAGGACCGGTGGCATATCTGCCCCCGACATGCCCCGTCCCTTCCCGGAGGGGTCCTGGAGCATGCGGAAGTCCGTGTACCCGACCCAGCGCTCGAATTTGTGCACGTCGAAGGTCTCCTTCTCCCACCAGTTGCTCTCGTAGACGGCCGTCCACTCACGCTCGTCGGGGAAAATGGGGGCGTCGAAGTACTGGCCGGTGACCTTCACGCAGCCCCCGAGGTCGGAGACGGGAATCGGCAAGTCCTCGGCCTCCCAGGAATCGAAGAACATTTCCCGCGGCTTCACGTGCAGTCTGCGAACCACATCTCCCAACACCATCCAACAGTCGCCCAAAACGGGGCCATGGGCCGTGACGTCGGCCTCACACTTCCTGAGCTCCGTCCTGAAAGATGGGAAATGCTTCGCCCGGTCTGGATGAAGGCGAAACTCTGAGGGACTGCATCCGATCAGCTTGACTGCCCGATGTCCTGAAGGAAACTGAGTCATAGGAAGAGCTTTGCGTTCTCTCCCCTTTCCGACCAACAGCGTGTTGGTTCTGAGATCCTCCACTGCGTCGAGAAAATCCAGGTATCTCGCCAGCAGCAAGGGAGGACACGTGTGCAGAAGAATCATGAACTCGACCACGCCAGAATCGAGATTGGCACAAGGGCTCGTCCGATAGGAGCGGTTTTGCCTCCGACTCCGTTGGCGGTGGGCAGGTCTGACACGTCCTTGTTGATGTGGGCCACGAAGCCCTGAGAGCGGAAAGCCTCCACGAGCTTGTCCACGTCCGGAGTGCCCACCAGCGCCTGTCCTGCTGCTGTATCTACCAGAGCCTGATCCTCCATGTCCTGGAGAGTAACCGCCGTGAAGGCCGCCTCGTCCGACTCCAGACCGTGGAAGATGGTCGAGCCCACCTGGCCCGTCGCGTCTCCTTGACCTGACCTTCCGAGAGTGGCGGGGCCCACCTGGCCCTTGCAGACCTGGTCGCTCTCTGGAGTAGCCTTCTCGACAGTGCCCACCTGGCCCACGTCGTCCAGCTGATCCGGAAAAACGGTCCAGGAACTCCCAGAATGAGCAGCTTCACGAGCCACGTCGAGGAAATAGGAAGGAGTCTGGTTCTGGTCTCACTCAGCTTTCAACCTGCAGTCTTCTCTCCATTGCCCTTTCTCTCGACAGTTCGAGCATCTCGACCTCTTCTTGAAGTCGTCCCTCATCAAGTGACGAGTCTTTCCAGTCTTGCCCTTGCCACCAGCCTTTGCTTCTCGCCGTCTGTCGATGAAATCCCTGTCCGCACGCTTGTTGTTCTTCATCTGGCGGGATTCTGGCCACGTCTTGCGCCTGATGGCAGTAGTGAGCTCAGCAAAGACATCCGCGATGTCTTCCTCCGCCAGGTCCTGGTCGTCCAAGGACACCAGTATTGCGTTGAGCTCATCCTCGCCGTACTCCGTCTCGTATATCCCGGTGCACTGGCCTCCGTCGTCGTTCTCGTCCTGATCATTTTGGTCCTCGGCATGGTCCGCCGGCTGACTCGTCATGGTCACGTAGCTCGGTTTGGAAGTCGCTGTCGTCGTCGCCTTAGGTAGACATTGCTGCTCTGACACGTCGAGTTCCAGAGTCGCGTTCCTGACCGACTGGAAATCCTTCCTTCCGTTTAACATAGGTCTGATCACATCCCTCCTCATAGTACCTCGCTTTCACCGAATATGGCAAAGCCAATCCTGCAATTCTCTCGGCCGTCGCCAGCTGGTTGTCGCGCCTGACGATGAAATCCGTGAGTGTCTCACTCTTCCTGATGGCAAAATCGAGCTTGGCTTCATTCTGGGTCGCCCTCTCGTGGTCTCCCGGGCGCTGCCCCTTTAGCAGCTCCAGGTGGTCAATCCGTTGAGAGAGGCCCTCAGTAGAGTCCAGAGAACTTCTGATCGCCTGAAACTTGGACTGCAACTCAACTGGGTACGTCTCGAGAACCCTTCCCGCCTGAACCTCGCCTTCCAGGAACTGATATTGGAAGTGTACAGCCTGAGTAGTCCTTGCTGGCAGGGGGGTCGCGTTCTTTCTCCGGACGGGACCACGATTCATTGCATGGCCAAGCTCTCCAATTCCAGTCTGGCTGCCAATCCCAGCCCGTAGATCACCAATCAGGATAAGCCCATGGAGTCGAGCCGGCTGCGGCTCCATCCTGGGCGGTGTCGGCGGCTGCTGCCGACGATTGTCTAGTAGGAGTTGAGAGCTGTTCCCACTGGTCGGTGCCGCCGAACTGATCGACGGTGGGGTCTCGGCGACCCCCATGGGCTACTGACTGCTGTCCCGACTGAGTGTCGCCCACGGCGCCCTGCAAGCCTTGCCCACTGATACCCTCTTCCTCCCCTGCGGCCTCGTCCACGCTCTGGCTACCATTGTCGGCTGGCATGGGAGAGCGAGAGATCACAAAGATCGATGGGGGTTATCTTTAAGCGTGCTCTGGAGGCCCCTGAGTCTCACAACAGTCCTTGGGCTCGCCAGCCAAAACGGCTGTGGCGAACATGTCTGTCACAAAGGGCACACGGGATAGAGGGGAGAGGAGGTTAAACAGAACAAGCCTACCAGCTTCAACCGACCTTTTCTTCAGCGTTTCCTCCCCTGGGGGCTTGGTCTGTGCCAGTTCCCCCTGGGCTTTGGGGCGACGCCGCACGCCAGTTAGAATCCACGTGGTTCGGTTTTTGCACTGCGTCCTCCGAGCCCCCGAGGATCGGGAGGCTCGAAATTGGAGACGACGACCAGCAGCGGCTCGTGTCCATCTTGGGCAGGAGTCACTGTCGGAGACGTCGCGGTCCGTCCCCATTCTCGCGAAGAGGGGGTAGGAGCAGGAACGCTTGAGCAGCACAACCTCCGCGCGCGCTGAAGCTCGGCATCGCCGCGGTTAGCGAGACTTCTCGCCCTCGACGACGACCACGACGACGACCACGACGACGACCACGACGACCACGACGACCACGACGAGGGCGGCGAGGGTGGCGAGGGCGGCGGGACGCTTGGCGGCTTCCCTCTCGTCGAGCGTCTTCAGCCCTGGCCTGGAGGGGTGCGCGGCGCTGGGCGGGCAGTGGCGGCGCGGCGTGGGCACTTGGTGGCGTAAGCCGGGGTCGGCCACGAGGGGGGTCATGACCAGGGGGGAGGTGGGGTGGACAGCATGGCGGGGGCCATGATGTCACCCCAGATCTCGTGGCGCCCCTTCTCATGTCACTATGTCCCCGACCCCCCTCCCCCCACCCCCTCGGCCGTGCACACGCCACTGGCCATGATTTGCCCCCCCCCTCCCGCCCCCCCCCCCCGCCCTCTCTTGGACACCCCCCTCTTGGACGGCCCCGAGTCGGTGGCCCGTGTGCTCTGCCGTGCCTCGCTGGCGCCACCCGCCCCTGCCCTCATCTCCCCTGAGGTCCGACGCAGCGAAAAGACTGCATCACTCGAGCACTCGAGTAGGGGATCGGCCGCAGAATTGAGTTACCCCAAAATGTCTTGTCTCGCCGAACATGTAAAGTCTTGTATTTTTCGTGGATTCGACGGATGAACATCGAATTCAGGGCTAATCAAGTCTGTAATCGATCCCCTATCCGAAACAGTGAAAAGTCACGGCTGGAGTCCCGGGCCCCATCTTGCTGCGCCGTTTTTCTCGAGCCAGATGGATTCGTTGGGGTTATCAGAGCCTGGACCAGGGCGAACACGGCCCGGCTCGAAAGAAGCGCAGCGCCCGGATCTCGGGGCCTGCCGTCTTCCCCAAACCCCGACGTCGTGACTTTTTCGCAGCGTCGATTCCCAGAGGTCTGGACCCCTTCCCCCGGACTGGTTCCCCATCATGATCGAGTCATTTTTTGACGGTCCCGAGGCTTGGCCAGGGCCCCCAGAGGCCGAAAATGGCGAAACATCGTCGTGTTCACGACGGCTCGATAGAATCCCAGCGCCCGGATCTCGGGGCATGCTGCCCTCGTGTGGCCACCGCGCCCGCCCAGCTGGCCTTGGAGAGCGGCGCCAGGAGCACAATGAGGCGCGGCGCTTCACCAATCTCGTGGACGCCCTCTACGAGCACTCGGTGCGGCTGCTGTGCCGGCGCCTCGGCCGGGCCGGGGTGCGCTCGAGCGGCGCGGCCCGCTCCGCCCGGGCCTCCGCTCCGAGCCTTTCTCCGCCGGGAGGCCACGGCCCTGCCCTGTGGTCTTGTCCAATATGCTGCAAGTCATGCGCTTAAAGAGATGACATATAACTTGCGCATGTGGCCCGACGTTATATAAGATAGTATGATTCGGATCGGAAGTTATATCGTTATATCACACATGCGTTTGTTGTATAGAACGCATGATCTATACCTCTGTACAATGGTGTAGCTTGTTGTTTTAATCCGAGCGCGGCCGTGTCACGTATGCGCAATTGGCGCAATTGCGAACATAAAATCATTAGTACACATGTTTGTACCTCGTCCTCCTCCTTCATCATTCGTCCTCGACCCCCTCCTGATCACCACCATCCCCCTTCCACCCCATCAGTCTCATCATCATTCTACTCGACTTCGTCATTCCCCTCCTCCCTTCGTCATCCTCCTCAGCCTCATTATCTCATTATTCAGTTGTTCTCCTAAACCTCCTGTCATCTCATTTCCCTTTATTAACGTATTCTTCCAGATCTCAATTCTAACTGCTTGAGTGTTGCTGTGTTGTCTTATCTTTCCTCATTTTCTCTTCTCCTAGGAGCTCCCCATCCTCCTACCTCCTCTTCCTCCTCCTCCTCCTCCTCGTCTTCCATGCTCTCATTTTGTTCCCTCTCTCCATCTTCTCTATCCTCCTCCTCCTCCGCCTCCTCCTCCTCATTCTCCTCCTCATTCTCCTCCTCCTTGTCCTCCTCCTCCTCCTCCTCCTCCTCCTTGTCCTCCTCCTCCTCCTCCTCCTCCTCCTCCTCCTCCTCCCCCTCCTCCTCCGCATCTCCATTCCCTCGGGGGCGAGCGGCGCCACCAACGCCGACGCCAGGCCACGGGCAGAAGGAAAGGGCGAGGGGGGCGGCGACTGCGGCGAAGGGTGAAGGCCACGGAAGGAGGAAAGGGCCGAGAGAGAGGAGAGGACAACATGCAGTGATGCCATCGGTTGGGCGATAACGATGGATGGGAGAGAAGGGGACGGAGCGGGAGGGCTGCGGCGGCGACGGCGGCCGCGCCGACCTACAAGTACGACCGACGAGAACGACACCTACGACGATGAACGCAATGACGACAACGACTACGACCTACGACCTACGACCGACGAGAACGACAGACGACGACTACGACTACGAGGATGACTAGGACGACGACCACGACCACGACCACGACTACTACGACTACGGTGACTACGACAACGATGCCAACGACTACGACTACGACGACGGCGACAACGACGACGACTGCGAAGACGACTGCGAAAGCGGTTGCGGCCGCTGCTCGGGTGGAGGCCCCCTTCGGAGGGCCCGCTTATTAGTATTTTCCTCTTCCTCCTCGTCATCGTCATCACCACCATCGTCATAATCATATGCAGCAGCATCATCATGATGATGGTGATCATCATGAACATCATGCTCTCACCGACCCTTCCCTACCCCACTTGTCTTCACCTCCCTCTTCTCCCCCCCCTTCCACCCTCCCTCACTCATTTCTCCTTCCCCTTCCCACGGTGCGCACCTCGAATCCCAGGGATGCGGTTGTGCAAGGTGCTGCTTTTGTCGAGCCCGAATGCTCGGTTCCAGCAGGTCAGGCGATGAGACCAAACGCGCGCGCGTTGGGCCGAGACTTATCTCTCCTCCTCATCCTCGTCGTCCTCGTCGTCCTCCTCCTCCTTCTCCTCCTCCTCCTCCTCCTCCTCCTTCTCCTCTCCTCTCCCCCTCCTCTCCGCCTCCGCCTCCTCTCTCCATCACCTACTCATTCTCCATCACCTTGGTTACTCCTCACTCTCCTCCTTGTCCTCATCCTCTCCTCCTCCTCATCTTCTCCTCCTCGTACTCCTCTTTCCATCCGGCTCCCCAGGCTCCGACGCCGCCCGACGCCTCCCTGCGTCAGGCGCGTCAGCGCGGGACGGCGCTGGTGGCGGATGGCTGGCGAAGGTGGTGAGATTCCGCGTTGACGACGGATTGCCCACAGCAGGTGCCAATTGCTTTTGGTGCAAGTGCCCGGCCGCGCCGTCAGCCTTTTATTTTGTCCATCGACGCCGATGCGGCGTGTAGTACACGTGCATTCCGATGCATGCATGTGAATGTGCAGTGCCTTGGATTGTGTCCTGGAGGTGGGGGGTTTGGGGCTCTAGCTTTCTGGGTGTGCGGGTTTTAGTACTGTTTTGTTTTTTTTGATTCTTCTTCTTTTTTTTTTGTTTGTTGTTTTTGTTTTTTTTTTCTTTGTATCTTTTTGTTTTTTCGTTTTGGTTTATTTATTTCTTTATTTTATTTTCCTTTTAATTTCTTTATTTTTTTTTGTTTTTTTGTCTTTTTAGTTTGTTTTCGTGTTTCTATTTTGATTTTTTCCATATTTCTTTTTTTTTTTTTACTTTCTTTCATTTTCTCTTTTGGTTGGTGTACAGTTGCGCGTGTCGTGGCGGAGCAGATGCAGCGCATAGGGAAACATGGGGGTGCGAATGCTTGGCGGCCTTCGCCGCTAGCTAGAGAAACACAACTTCGCAAACGCAGCAGCTACAACAGCTGCAAACTCACTCGGATATGCAGACGAAAGCTGCAGGTCACGCCCCTGGCCGCTCCATTCACCCATGTGCTTTTCTTCCACCCACCTTTGGACGCGCTGTACTTCGGGCCCTTCTTAGTCAGGGTAGTCACGCCTTTGCGCTATGCAACCGCCAGCCGCGCTCAGAACGAACCGTAGCCAACATTGCCGAGGGAAACGTAACGCAGAGCTCAATTGGCTTCGCTGAGGCGCGACCAAAAGCACCGAGCCACGTCGCATACCTGCACGCGCCAACTAGCTCCAGCGAGCTGCGCACTGCTGGCACACCACACAGCAATCTATTCATGGGCTGTTCGGTCGCCACGAACACAGGCCCCGCTGCCGCGCATGAGGTGCTCCATGACCTGCCACCCCCCTCCCCCGCGCTCACTTGTGCACTTGTGCCCGGCGCCAACGATCGTTTTTTGTCCCACCAGGGCGGTGCTGAGTGAAAGCAGAGGGTGCAATGATGGCGCGAGGTGGGTGCGCAGAGGATGGAGAAGGAATGCTACAAGCTAGTACTTGGAGATCAAGGTTACGAATGCGAGGGCAAGCTAGCTGATACGCATATACATATAGAGAGAGAGGGAGAGGGAGAGAGAGAGAGAGAGAGAGGGAGAGAGAGAGAGATAGGGAGAGAGAGGGAGAGGGAGAGAGAGAGAGAGGGAGAGAGAGAGAGAGAGGCAAGAGGGGCAGAGGGAGATAGGGAGAGGGGGAGAGAGAGAGAGAGAGAGAGAGATAGAGAGAGAGAGAGAGAAAGAGAGAGAGGGGAGAGGGATAGAGGGAGAGAGAGAGAGAGAGACAGAGAGCACAAGGGAGAGCGATGGGGGTGCAACGGAGACAGAGAGAGAGAGATGGATAACAAACGTGAGCAGGATATCTGAAGGGATAACTCACGAGACTGAGGGAGGGGGCGGGACCGAGAGGGGGCACATCGTGATAGGAAGGAAGGGGGAGAGAGAGAGAGAGAGAGACAGAGAGAAAGAGAGAGAGAGAGAGAGAGAAAAGAGAGAGATAATGAGAGAGAGAGAGAGAGAAAGGGAGTTAAGACCGAGAGGGAAAACCGAAGGAATATCGAGAGATATGAAAGAGCGTGTTCTACCGCTGCTGGCGGAAAACCGGGGGGGGCCACTGCCGGTTCGAACCCCCCCCCCCCCTCGGAAATCCGGGGGGGGGGGTGGTCATACGGTTCGAACCCCTACCCCGCCCCCCCAGCTCATCATGAAGGGGGGGGGTCACTTCAGGTTCGAACTCGAATCCCCCCCCTCGAAACGTTGTGGGGGTGTGCGGACAGTGGTGGGGCGGTGTGGTGGGACAGTGGTGAGGACAGAGGGGCACAGTGGGGGACAGTGGTCAGTGGGGACAGTGGGACAGTGGGACAGTAGTGGGGACAGTAGTGGTGGGGACAATGGTGGGAACAGGGGGGACAGTGGACAGTGGTGGGGACGGTGGTGGTGGGGGCCGCGGTGTGGGGACAGTGGGAATGAGGTGGAAACAGTGGGACAGTGGAGGGTGCAATGGTGGTGGGGACAGTGGTGAAGGCGGTGGCGAGGACGGCGGTGGGACAATGGGACAGAGGTACAGCGGGGACAGCGGTGGGGACAGTGGGGACAGTGGCGGGAACAGTGGGACAGCTCAGTGGGACAGCGGAGGAGTCAGTGGGACAGTAGGGACAGTGGGGATAGTCGGGCAGTGGTTGTGGCCGTGGAGACAGTGGGGAAAGTAGAACCGTGGTGGGAACAGTGGTGGGGACAGTGGGGACATTGCGACAGTGGTGGCGGCACTGGTGGGGACAGTAGGGACGGTGGTGGAACCAGCGGGGACAGTGATGGTGAGGGCAGTGGTGCTGGGAACAGCAGCGGGGGATGTGATGCGGACGGACGGTGGTAGGGACCGGGAGTCGTTTGCTGGCGGGTTAGGAATCCCTGGGATTGGGGGGGGTGTTCGAGGGGGGTGTTCGATCCGGTAGTGACCCCCCTCCGGGTTTTCGAGGGAGGGGCAGGGGGTTCGAACGGGAGTTGACCCCTCTGTTTCCTGGATTTCCGGAGGGGGGGAGGGGGGAGAGGTTCGAACCGTGGTTTGTGACACCCCCTCCGGGTTTTCGAGGGGGAGGGGGGGGGGTGCCGGCGGGGGTGGGGGGGGGGGGATCAGCAGAGGAGAGAGGGGGGTGGGGATTTTCGAGGGGGGGGGGGGGGGGGGGCGACCCTCGGGCTCCGGAGGAAAAGGTTGGCAATTTCCCACAGTAAAGCGGCGGTGGATCACGCTCTCTCGGAGATATCGATAGGGCTACTGATATGTATATTCACACGTTTGTAGATTTATTTATTTGTATATATATATATATATAAGACACATGGAGACAAACATATCAAAGTAGGCGCGTGCAACCGATCATGCGCGTCGCGCTTCCACGTGCGCGCGCGAGAGGCGGTGCGAGTCTTTAGCTGGCCAGTTGTATAGTCTGATTGGTTGTAGACTGCAGGTTAAGTGGGAGGGGGTGTGGGCTCAGGTAGCCATTT